CAAGGGTTTTAACCGAGAAATTCTATATAGAGCAATAAAACTAGCTTCAAATATGCAAAGATGTTGGCCTCAGAGTTCTTTCTTATGATAGTAACTAACATTTTTTCTTCTCTGTTTTCCTTGTTTAGTAAGTGCTGAGCCGAAACCGAGTGTATTAAAAGTACAATATCATCCAGAAAATATATATTACAGAACACATTATTTGGATATGAATCGTTTTACATCAACACTAGCAAAACAATATGATTACGAGGTGTTAGATTTACACTATTTATTTCGTCAGCATCCTGAATTACGAGATGAAGATGGTTGTCATTGGAATAGTGAAGGTACAAGCAGTATATTTATGAGAAACTAGATCTTTCCTGTCGAACACCACATTATGGATTATTTTATTTGCAATTTGCTTTAAATCGAGTGACATATCTGATAAAGTAAATTAGTGGTATCCAACCAGTTTCATTCTATTAATACAAAGGTGTTGATCGACAATAATAACACGTTTTAATGTTTTGTGATTTTCATACTTTCACTTTCGTGACTGTATATAATGCACATATTTGGGTTTTAGGTCATAGAATGATAACATCGTTTATTTCACAATATTGTTCGATATTATGGCATATGGCTTACATTGAAAAGTTCACATCACAAAATAAACAAAAAGATGCGTACAAATTGTGCAAACATTTATTATCAACGATAATTGTTCATGAAAATACAAATGACGACAATAATAGTGACAAAAACAACAATAATTATAATAATAATACAACTACAACGATATCAACAGTCGAACAAATGGATGAAGAATTTGATCTGTCTGCGCTTGTTGGTTTACGTTCAGGATCAACAAATGAAAACGTCGGTGATACAACAGAAATACCGGGAATGGTTAAATCGGTAAAAGAAATGATGGATTACTATGAAAAGATTTAAATTGTCTCTGTAGTTATTTTTCAAATATATTTTTATTAACTTTTTTAAAGAATGCTTCTTTATTGTTTTTTGTTAAGCACGCATATGTGTTCTTGAAGAAATAGATTAGTTAACAGGTATCGAATTGATTTTTTGTTGTGGTTCAGATGGTAGTACTAGTTGGATATATGACAGTGATGCCCTCCCTAATTGACCTTTGGCATGCGAAAGTTCCGTGTTCGATTAGTTTTTCATGTCCAATTTCCAAAATTATCTCTCATTCCGCTTGAAGTATAATATACACAACAATAAATCCAAAATTATTTTTGTTAGCTATAGACTGACCATACGATTTTTTTTGTACTTCTCTGAATAATAAACGGTACTTTTTTTGTCAGTTCACAAATCGTTTATTAGATTGTCTATCGAATAACTCAATGACAATGAATAATGCATAACGTGTTAGACTATCGAGTGATCCAAATTAAACGTCGGTCTCAGGAGGGAACCGATTTAACTGTTAAACCTTTTTTCGATGAGACCTAGTGGATTATAGGTTATCGGCTATGCTGATTTCGAATATGACCATGGCAGTTGCTTATAGGTCTCCAGAGATCCAGTTTTGGGAAAACCAGATTTTCAGAAACTCTAAAAAGTAACTAAAACCTTTTCTTAATGAGGCATAATTGTAGCCCGCACATTTCTGATTAAAATGAGACATCTCCCAGCTCTACACGACCTTTCTTTCTAATTTTATAGAATTTACGACACAAGCCCTAAATTAATTTCTTATTTCTGTAGCTTTGAGCTGACAATGAACATTTAGGGCTTTTCTTGTAAATTCTGTAACATTGCAAAGAAAGCGCGTGCAGAGCTGGGAGATGTCTCATTTTAATCAGAAATGTGCGGGCTACAATCATGCCTCATTAAGAAAAGATTTTAGTTACTTTTTAGAGTTTCTGAAAACCTGGTTTTCCCAAAACCGGATCTCTGGAGACCTATAAGCAACTGCTATGGTCATATTCGGAATCTACATAGTCGATCACCTATAATCCACTAGGTCTCATTGAAAAAACGATTTGACAGTTATATTAATTTTTTAATTTTATATTAATAAAGAGGAATGAATGGCGGATCGCCGCCGAGCTTTCTGAACTTTAAAAAGTTCTTTTTTCCCGAATGCAATGAGCAAATAGGCTAAATTCTGGTCGTTTACCCAGTTTCAGGAAGTTATATAGTTCTTAAGTCATAATACTTGTTTGAAACTGAGTTCACCTTACACCACGAGAAAGAGTACCCCTAGTGAATGTACTTACTTTGCCCAAGTACCCTCGTAACTTTTGTCCAATGTTTTTGTCTTTTTCCGCAAGTAAATCAAATACTTAATCTGCTTATCAAGCACTTGACTAAGTACTTGCCCGAGTAACGCGAAAGTACCTGAGGAAAGTTTGACAAGTAAATAATGTACTTGACAAGTGCTACTCTTGAATAAATTCTACAGGTACTAGAAGTACTTGAGAAGTACATGACAAATAATGTGTGTGTGTTGGTGAAATAATGTTTATTCTATTGCTTTATTTTTATTTTAACATAGCGAATGCGTAGGAAACAATTCTGATGAATGTGCTAATAAAACGTTACTCATCAAACGTGGTTGTGTAAGCAGTATGATCATATTGAGAATACAACATAGATTTGGTATTAGAGAGATAAAATACTAAGGTAAAGTGAAATTGATTTCGGTTGAGCCAAATGGCTGTTGTCATTGATCACTGATCTAATCTCCTTTATCTAGAGGTCACACATACACATATATATATAAAAAGCAGCCATTTACTCGAGTTTTGAAATGTTTTTGCTTTTATTTTAAATTTTACTAAAAATTGAAAATAATATATAAATAATAATAGTTAATTTATCAAAATCAAAAACATAAATTAAAATCAACAAAAGCAAAAAATCAACTTGCTCAAGATAGATTAGTATCAACTCAAAGTTCACAATCATCCGCATCAACTTTATAGCTGGTGTAATTTAACTTTTATACTACACCTTCATATTTCGTTTGGTTTTTCTCACCTGCATTAGAACAGCCATATTTACACAGCGAAAAAGTAGAAAAGGTGTGTCTTGTTATGCACTCGACGTGTCTGTAGTTACACTCTAAATATAGTGTGTCATCTTCGCGGCTGGTCCAAACGTAACAGCGTGACACGTTTAACATAGTAATTCTCAATTTTTATAGAAACTATAAGAGGTAGAAAGACCGTTCTACCACCATTTTGAGCGGTTCACCGTCCTCTGTCTCTGGTAAAAAATGAGAAAATTTGGATAATATTTACTGCTTTGGGAAGGAATGTTCGATGCACGACGGACGTGACAGAAAAGATCCGAAATTGCGAGTACATCCAATTGAACGCTAATTTACTGCGAAACTACTTGAGCGAATGGAAACTGTCTAGAGCGAACATTTTGGAGAAGCTTACGAGCTATCCAATATTAAAAACAATTTTCTTTCGCAGTCTTTCCGTCGCTTATAAATATCAATAAATAAATGTGATGACGTGACAGACTTTTTTGTCAGGAATTTCCAGCCACCAAATGTCCTCCAAAAAACTTGATTTTTATATTTGCCATGGATTTGGTGATATTCTATCGATTTATCTGAAAAATAAAGTTGAAACATTTATTTCAGACTTTTAAACTTGACCGAAACCTTGAAACATCGAAAAGGCATAAATTCTGTTCCCAAAGTCGAATTGTCGAAAACGTGAATCATTTTGTAGCGAATTTAATTTTCTATCAAATGGTGTAAATTTTAAATCTTTTTAAAAAGGTTTCTACGTCAAAAATTTTAAATTAAAGTTTTAAAAAATTTTAATTAAAATTACTCTACCAAAATTTTTATATTTTTATTTGCTAACAGGTCGGATTCGTAATGGACGCGAAAAACTGCATCTGGTGATGTGCTCATATCGGTTCTCGGATAAATAAAAAATTTTTAAAAGGTTAATCAGCGAAGTGTCGCGAACAAAACCTGAAATCAATGGTCAATGTTAACAGGAACGTCTACGAATGCCATTAGTTAAACAATGAGCACCACCAGCACCTTCTAAAAGTCCGGCAGTTGGCACACTGAAAACGGTGCAAGGAAATTGTGGATGACCAATCATTTGTGAAGTGATGCTACTTTCATCATCTCCTCCGCTATATGTTGCAATATGATACTCATCAATAGCCAATACATTATGACGACAATTTGTTTGATCTTTAATCGATACTTTTTCCGTTTTAGCATCATAAAAAGTTAGTGATTTGCCTAGTAGATTTTCAAGTACATCACCAACATTTCTTCCTTTGGCTGTCCATCGACAGAGATGGAGCTCCAACTACAGAGTTGGAGTTGAGTTTAGCTTTGTTCAACCCCACAACTCCAGTTCAAAATAAGCTCTTATCAGAATTGGAGCTGAATGTAGCCAAAGTTGCTCATCTCTGATTTCAAACATCTGTGTAACGACTTGTAGAAAACTATCAACCTAGAGATTGGGATTGTTTAATTTTGATAATTCTGTAATTTAGATATTAAAAATTTCGTTACTTTTTGACCTTGACAATACTACGTCGCTATTTTCACTATCTAAGATAAATACATACAAAAAAATTCATCAATGAATCATCTTATTGGTGCAGTTATCATTTTTTTCTCTTTTCAAATATACACACCTCTTTTCATCACTACTAAAATATAATACACAAAAAAAAAATGTGATCTTATCGCGTTCATTATGCCCTATTTTGTCGTAAAATTTAAACTAACAATTGAAAATTTTTAAAAGATAAATAGAGATAATGAAAGTTGCCAATGAATCAAGACATACTTTTTCAAATATTTCATTCTTATCTACATTACTTAATTCTGAATGAGCAAAAATTAATAATACAATGACACAATATCACTATTAAATGTATCATTATTTGATGTATTTGTACAAATAGTATACATTGAAGAGATCTTATAATTTACATAATACGTATTTATTCGATTTATATAAAACAAAAATTTGTACGTTGATTGTACAGAAATGGAAGTTCTTTTAAGCGAATTAAACGAAAAGAAAAGAATGATGATATATCAGTTAAATGCACTCGTTCAACAGCAACAAAATCTTATATCAAGTGTTGTACATTATGGTATTTTGGGACCAAAAGATGGTGATCATTTTGAAACAGAATATAATATTTGCAATGAACATTCACTACAGATCAAGTGTTTGGAATATGATTTAAAACATCTTGAAGATGAAATTAATAACGTTACAAACGTAAATGTTGAACAATATGGTGTACGCTCAGAAGTTGGTCGACTTGAAATTGTTTTGATGCATCGTCCCGGTTCTGAATTACGTCGTTTGACATTAGAAAATCTTACTACACTTCTATTTGATGCACTACCCAATTTAAATCATACATATATCTCTCATAATTTATTTGCTGATTATTTGAGACAACAAAGTATAGAAGTTTTGTATGTTTCCGATATTCTACGAGAAACATTGAGAAATAGCAAGCTGGCAATTCGTGAACTCATTGATGGTATAGTTAAAAAGAGTTTACCACAAGTCAAAGATCATCTACAATTATGGCTAGAGAAGAGAGACGTTGAACAATTAGCACGTGATGTTATTGAAGGTGTTCAGTGTAACTATAATGAAATTGGTCAGACAGATATTGGTCAAATACTTTTGAAATTATGTCCAATTGGAGATTATCTTGTACCTCCGTTGCCAAATCTAATGTTCACTAGAGATTCATTCTCAATTATCGAAGATAAAGTTGTTATTCATAAAATGGCTTATGCTGCAAGACAAAATGAGCCACTAATAATGAGTATTATTTTTAAATATTATCCAAGATTTGTAGAACATTTAGAAGTGATCGATTGGCAAAAACATGTTAAGAATTCTGAAGCAACGATCGAAGGAGGTGATCTGGCTTATCTCGGTAATGGTACACTATTAATTGGATGTAGTGAACGTACAAATGATGTTGCCATTGACGCTTTAGCAAAGACAATGTTTGATTTAGGCATATTAAAACGCGTTATTGTTGTAGGTATACCGAAAAGTCGAGATTATATGCATTTGGATATTGTTATGAGTGCTGTTTCATCTTGTGCATTCACCTTACACGGACGTTTGGCTACAATTATGGAAATATTTGAGGTAACACCTGATGTTATCAACAATAGTTGTCGATGGACAGCCAAAGGAAAAAATGTTGGTGATGTACTTGAAAATCTACTAGGCAAATCACTAACTTTTTATGATGCTAAAACGGAAAAAGTATCGATTAAAGATCAAACAAATTGTCGTCATAATGTATTGGCTATTGATGAGTATCATATTGCAACATATAGCGGAGGAGATGATGAAAGTAGCATCACTTCACAAATGATTGGTCATCCACAATTTCCTTGCACCGTTTTCAGTGTGCCAACTGCCGGACTTTTAGAAGGTGCTGGTGGTGCTCATTGTTTAACTAATGGCATTCGTAGACGTTCCTGTTAATATTGACCATTGATTTCAAGTTTTGTTCCACAAATGCCATTAATCAACCGAAGATGACACATAACACAATATATTTAGACTGTAACTATAAACGCCTCGAGTGCATAACAAGACATACTTTTTCTACTTTTTCGCTCTGTAAATACGACTGAATTTCTTTTTCAAATTAATTCCTTGAATGAACTGTCATTCTAGTATCTACAAAAACTAAATAAAAGAAATACTTATAAAAAAACATATTAATAGTGTCAGTGCTGCACACGGAGCTTAACTACTCAAAATAAAAAGTAGTTGAGAAAGAAAAAAGTCAAAAGTGCTATAGTTAACAATAGAAATAAAAATTGTTTGGAAGTCAAGAACAAGCTGTTAATCATACCTAATACTAAAAAATCTCAACTGAACACTATGAACAAAACATATGCTGAAATACCTCACTCTTTTACTCCTTTACAATGTCGAAGTTTTATGTACAAAAAAACACATATGAAAAAAGTTTGTGTATGCTAACTGAAATTTCAAATTTTTACTTTTTTTTTGGCCCACTAAGCGGTAGTCCAATATCTTTTCCTCTTAATTTGACTCCAAGTGCTCGTTCGAGTTTCGAAATTATTTGTTGATTCGGTATTGCTTTGCCCTGTTCATATTCATTAACAACTTGTTGTTTTTCATTAATATGACGAGCTAAATCCGCTTGCGTCCATTCTTTAGCCACTCGAGCCTGTTGTATAACGCGAGACACATCGCCACTAATGCGGTCATGATGCAATTCTTCTGTTTCTCGATCTAAAACGGCTGTATTTTTTGCTGACTCATGTTGTTTATTACTACCGCCAGCATATTTCTTCGATGTATCAATGGGAACACCTGCACGCGCAGCCGCAGCTATTGCTGCTTCACTTTTCAATTCGCCGGCACGTGGAGCTCGTTTACCAATCACTGAATATAAAAAGTACTTTGAAATAACTCTCTTTCTTATGTGTCAAAAACACACATATCTTTGAGAGATCAATGTAAAGTGTGCATATGGATCATAAATTTCATGAATTGTATGAAGACTTCAACAATTTAAAGTATATGAGTTTTTTAGAAATATCCAACTTACAAACAAACGAATTGCTTCAACTGATATCAACTAAAGCTATCTAACGTAAAAGAAAACTAACCTGTTTGCTGATCCCAGCCAACAGTTCCGCCAAAATTAGGTGTTGTTTTTGACATTATTAATTTTTTGCAAATAATTCCAATAACGTATAAAGCGAGATATGGTAGAGTTTACTATTGTTTATGAAAGACAAAATCTAAAAATATACGAAGAAATGAAATGCTATTAATAAATTTGAAAATTCAAGCAACGCCAAATTTCGCCGAAGTTCGTTATATAATTTTACCTGTGCAAGCAAAAACTAATGAGTCAGATCAGGTATCGTCCGAAGTGAAAGCAAGAGAAAAGAATAATATAACATAAAATAAATGGATAAATAAAAAAATTAACGGTAGGTGGATTAATAGAAAAAAAGAGAATGAGCAATGTTGAATAATATACGGTCAAAGCAAATACTAGAATCGAATTGTAACAGTGAGCTCAAAAAAACTAACTAATTGTTAGGATTGCATAACCTTACGCCTGACGTTTCCAACATAATGCTCTAGGAACGTATAGCATTAGAACTTAACGTAAAACTTTCTATCACCGCTCTTTTTTGTGTTCTTTACTGTATCATTATGCGACAAAAGAAACCCAATCAAAATAATAAGCTATTAGTAAGCTCACCTTTAACTTTTATACCTCTAACATACTTTAATTTAAGTTTTTGCTGCTGACCTATCGACATATACATTCCAGTCTGTTATGGATAAACATCGGTCATCAGCTGAGACCAATCAAGAACTGATATATAATCGAATGCATTATTCTATGCACTATTCTATCGTAGGCTGCGTCATATGAAATCATGAACTGATCCCTACAAAAATTAGCTACCGTTCACGTTCAAAGTTGAACAATTTGAATAGATGTCACTTACTATCAGGTGTGCCTCTTAATTTCTATATTGACTTCGTGTGACTCGTATCTTTCTTTCGTATCTTTTCTGATAAAAATCTGAAGCACTTTAATTCCTACCAAAAATAAGACATCTTTTAATAGTCTCGATTAAAGTCTCGATTAAATCAAAAATTAAAATCAAAAATGATTAAATCAAAAATATTTTTAATGAATAAATTGGTTTTCATTTTGTATAGACTGTAAATAATGCGAAGTATTTATTTCTCTTTCATTATTTTTAAGATCTGGGTGTATTTAAAGTGGGATGCCATTTCTCATGATGGAATAGTAAACCTTGAGAAAAGTTGATTTCATGATGAGCTAACAAGAGCGACACGTATATTTTCTCCAGCGTGAACACAGCATCCTGTTATTAATAGCAAAATTTTGTAATATAGCAGCAATCCCTATGCTTGAGTCTCGAAATTCTCTAGTAAGTCAAAAAACAAATATAGTTAGTGTAGTTAGCTGCAACGGTACTATTTGGATGTCGATACGTAAAAGTGAGAGTAGATTGAATTCAGAGTAAGTCGGTATGTAGACGACAATAAAAAACTGTTGAGTAATAAAAGATAGACAATTAGAAAAATAATGAATGATAAAATGATTTTTATTTTCAAAGAATAAAAGAACCTTGAATTCTAGGTAAGATGGAAAAGGAAAACATTTCATTCATTTTTGATTTATTTACACGAAGGAAAATGTAACAACAAAAATATAACATTATTAGGGTTTAGCAGTTTTTCTCTCAAATAAGTTAAGATTTTATTGTAAATAATCTACCCAGCAGGACTCTTTATATATTTCGCTGATCTTCTTCAATCTTCATACTAAAGAATACTTTTAATACAATGAAAAGACGCGTAAATTATTCTAATTAGCTCAGAAAATCTATCACCTTTATTTTGACAACAACATTATGAATAAATTCTTACCATCTCTCAAGATGCTGATATGATTTTATTGTCTTAATTTCCTTTGATTCGATCGAGTATAACTTTCCATTTTTGTAACACTTCTTCTTTCACCTGACGATTGTAAGATTTCATTTGTAAACTAACGTGAGTCAAATTTGTGTTGGATAATTTCCAAATCAAATCATCTGTTGAATTGAAATATATAATATTTGGCCATTGATAAAAATCAGCATATTTTAACCAATATCGAACGGCTTCCCCATCAAATTCATTATTTGGATCAGGTACGTTTTTCAAGACACCTTTAATACGTGACATTTTTCTTGCTGGATTGTCCCATGTTCGTTCACTAACAATTCGATATTTAAGATGCCATTCTGTTAGCAAATCAATAGTGGGAAAAAACAGAGGAATTTGCATTCGATACTGTTCAAATAGACTCATGGTTGATACTTGATAAGGAATATGGATAATTGCTGGATGACGAATCAATTGAAAATATTGGTACTTATTTTTATACAATGTTCGAACAGGAACAATCTCTATAGAGGAATGTAGACGTTTCAATGAATCATTTAACGATAATGAAAATAACGTGAAAAATTGTTCATTATGTATGGGTGCAATTAGAATATTTTTGCTTGTTGGGTGATATACCATGCTAGTATAATCACAAAGACTTGGTAGAACGGTGATATTAAGTCCAGTGAAATATCGTATATATTCAGCATCATACAAGTTATTAGCTGCAATAACATTTGTGGTGTTTTGCGCGATTATTTTCAAATTCTTATTCCATTCGTGCCATCTATGTGATTCATGTCGGCCTAGTTCATAGCGAGTAGTGGCAATTATAATTAAAGATTTATTGAATGGCATAAATACTTCACACATGGCCGATGGATGAAAACAAATGAAAGCATTGACTCTACTCATTTCGGTGTCATATTTATAATGTTGAAGAAATTGTTGACGAATGTCTACTGGTGGATCCATACCATTCTCTGGCGTGAAAAATTTTAGATTATGTCTACACGTATGTGTTTGTGAACAATAACTGGAGAGAGACTTGTCGATAAACTGAACACGAAAGTTTGGGGTTAATAAATATTTGAGATCACGAATGGGACTTATATGGTAATCATTACTCCAAATAACAACTGGTTTTGATGTTTTTGATGGTCTTTGATAAGAATAGATAATGATTCTAATTAGGATAAGAAATAGAATAAAATAGATTGATAGACATAATAATTTTACGGAAAAAGACCGTTTTCTAAATCGCATGATGAAATATCTATTGGCTGATGAATAACATTATATTTCTTAGTCTACCGTCTTATAATAAGACCATATTCTATAACAGATCATTAACTAATTAATAGAGGCTTTTCGGCCATTCCGCGTAATACTGCTACCGGAAAGGTGATTGCGTTACCGTTTTTAGGGAACTTCAAAACGTTGTAACTTCTTGAGAAAAAATCGTGGAGAGTTGTACGACCTCTCATTAAAAAGAAGATTCGAAGTTCTTCAAAACTGAATTCAAGCAAACTCCTGAAAAGTTTTCGTTCGGACGATACCACGAAGGAAAAAGAGACGCCTCAACTTGCGTTTTTTCAAAATAGTACCTTCTAATTACCTTGATATATCGTCTGAACGAAAACTTGTCAGGAGTTTGCTTGAAGAATCTTCTTTTTAATGAGAGGTCGTACAACTCTCCACGGCTTTTTCTCAAAAAGTTATAACGTTTTGAAGTTCCCTACAAACGGTAACGCGGTCACCTTTTCGGTTGCAGACTTGGGTGGAATGACCGTTTTATAATATTATCTTATCTCCACGTTGAGGAAATAGGTTTGTGGGTTTATTGAGAACATGTGGGTTTATTGAGAACAAAAAAAAATGACAATCGATGCATTCGACCGTGAATAACCGATTATATATATTAATAAAAAGAGATTAACTATTTCACAATCAGTCCTTTTTTGCAAGTATTAAAACAACGAACAAGATGTTGCGGAGGATATCTGAAAATCTATAAAAACATTGCTTCAGTATTTCATGAAGCTTTTGTGATGGAAATAAAAAAAATCACTGCGCAAAATTCGCTGAAAAACGCTTGAAAGTGCTATTTTTAAACAAAATCATCAAATTTGCGTCAGAAATGTTTCAGAGTCTTTCACTATATACAGTTTTCCACGCTGATCCCGATTTTGCCATCCATTTTATGTTAAAGTGTTTAGGGGCCAATAAAAACAAGAATTATCTCAAAAACCGAGGATTTTTGGAAGACCTTTAAGTCAGTCCAGGAGATTTTGCGCTTGTTTGCGCTAACTGTATAGATGTATCATGTATATATAAAAGATGATTCTCTGAAAGTGTCATCGAATTCGGAGCTTCGCTAAACTTCGCACCCTCACTATACTGAGTATCATTTTCGGAAAACATCTAGTAGCGGAAAAATCCTTCTTTTTTCCGACACAAAAGTGAAGAAACAAAATGTTTTTCACTGAACTTATAGTACAGAAGCTCTAATTTCAGAAAGTGTCAGTTGTATTCATCCACTCCTTCTTGGGACCTCAGCAGGCTGCATTCATGTCGGAAGTCTCTGAAACCTGCCCCTTTTTTGTACCTAAATTTTCTCGGTAACCTTAAGAGTTAGAGCCGAACTTCCTTCGTCAAAAAATCGGCCCATAGTCAAAGTGTATTTGACGATATTTAAATCTTAAAAAGCTCATTTTCGATTTTTGTCCAATATCCACTTTATTGCTCACTGTGCAGTACACCTTTTCACTTTTTTGACCTCGTCTCGGCGTATTAGAGATGGAAAATGAAAAAGTTCTACTCTAAACAGAAAACTTTGACTAGAGACATTGTGAACTTCTATTCTGATTTCCACTCGATCAAGAGCGGTCTTTTGTTTCAAGAGGGACTTTTAACATGAGTAACGTATAAAAAAGAGAAGAAGAACATAAGACATCTTATTAATTATTTGTTTTATTAATATACACTTATTTAATTCATCGGTATCATGTTTAGAAGTTTTGTGATCCCATTTGAATTCACGTAATATTTTTATAACGTCAATAAACGAATTTTGTTTTTCATTAATATTTCAACACAGGCATTTGTTAAGTTGACATTTGAATATTAATTTTCACGATTTGATGTCAATTGAAATAATCTATTATCAGTTCTAAGAACGGTGACATTTTCGAATGACTTCTCTAAAATGATATTCAATTTTACACTGAAAATTCATTTGATAGTACTAAGAAAACTTCAAGTGAAAGTTTCTCATTTGTTTTATATCAGCAGTAATCTCATCAATTTGTTGATCATCTACAACTCGTTTACTCATTTTATTAACTCAGGGGCTGAGTGATACAATTGAATCGTTTTATTCAAGTGTTTTCACAATAACATGCAGAACTGTAGTTAGTAACGCGAGAGAAATTAGCTTGACAACAAAGATCACAGTCTTCTCTTTTCTTTTGTTGCGTCGAGCAAATACCAACGTTTCATTAACTGTAATCTCTCCGTCTGTATACTGGATACAGTATCATGCACATATATGAACCATTTTGAGATATGTGAACAATTGCAGAAATTATATATTTCAGACAATTTCGAAAGATTTCTTATGTTCATCATGAATTAGTAGATAAAAGTCCCCGGATCTGTAAGTATAGTAAATAGATTAATAATCCGAGTTTCTGTCAAAAACCGTTAATGTGGATAATAGCCAAACAACGCAAGAAAAGAAGAAATATCCACATTTAGATAAACGCTTATTAAATTTAGTTCTAAATCCACATACACATATAATTGATCAAACTAATAATATATCTCATAAAATTTCTCTTAAATAAACCTTTTTTGTTACAATCATCTTAATTTTTTCTGAGAACGTTTTTTGTTGAGGAAACAATTCATAATATCTTCTTTTTAACTAAAAATGGCATGTCGTTGTCCAATAAAGTCTACTGTTGTGTAGTTTTGGTAATTTGTTAATATCCTCATTTTCATAATAATAGCTCAGAATTATATATGATATATATGATGAATCATCCATGACCCATTGGTAGCGAACAACATGAAAAAAATACAGAAAAAAAAAGTACTCTTTTACCCTTAGGTTATTTTATAGTAAACATATTTTTATTAGCAATTATATTGAGTATTCATTGTCATACAATTAAATTTATTTTTTCTAGGTTATTGTTTAGTGTGAAAAGCTATGAAACAGTTATGTCGTGGATGAATGCATAAATGTAGTTCACATTTAGAACATGTCCATTGCGTTTTCAACTCCCATTTTCTATATTTACACCCTAATCTTGATTGTACAATTTTTTGCCAACGTTCATTACATATCGTCTCTTATTTTTTTGTATATTAAGTTACTCCCTCTTTCTGTGTTCAATATCTCTCTCTCATTCTTAATATTACCATCACTCGTATTTTGGCTTCTGCACTATATATATATCGTTGTACAGCATTTACATTGGAGTCTATGATATAATAAACTCAGTAAATGATAGAATTCCTTTTTTTTGTTTTTGAGGATCTTTTATTTGACGGTTTTAAATATATTACATTTTCATGTCGTTCGCAACCAATGGGCCATGGATGATCCATTTACTTGTAAGTACTTTTCAAAAAATTCGGACATCATAAGAAAAGCCCGTTCTATTCAGTCTGGAAAGGTAACGCTCTACTAAACATTAATCGACAATAACATGTTTCTGAAACGTTCTTGAATAAAAACTAAAACCTGAAAAGAATTTTTTTTCAACTTTTCTATTTTTTTGAAATTTTGTTATTTTGTGATTGAAATGTCTTTACCAAAAATTTATGGAAAAGAAAATCTTTTTTTATCAATCGATAGCTTATGGACTTATCTTGCTCTCAAAACCAATCCATTTTTTATCACATGCTTCATTATCTTTTTAAAATAATTCTACACAATGGATCATGGGTGGCTCCTAGGTAGGTAAAGGGTTAATCAAAACAGATGTCAAGCCATGTTTGCACTTTGATATTCACGCAGCTGGAAACATTTGGCATCACTTATGTTGGATAAAAATAAATTACTAATTTTTAGTAAGAAGATGTTTCATTTCGATGAAGAAGATGACAATCATCTACAAGAGCATTGGCACACTCACAATAGTTGAGTAGCAGGTTAAAAAAAATGGTCTCTGTCGATTCGGTTTAGGAGTACAATCATATGAGCGAGTGTATTGAGTTGGTTGGTTTAAGCTTTATTTCAAGTAAGAAAGAGACAACTGATCCACCTACCCCGAAGCGGAAGCCCATTATATCAGATGCAGGTGGATTAGTCCTTGAATAGCGAGAATAGTAATAATAATAAAAAAT